TGAAAAAAGAACACACCCACCTTTCAAAAGCTTCACTCCCCACTTGGTTGCCCTTTCAGTAGTTTTTTCAACTCGCCCCTCCTCTATCTCGCCAAGTTGTTGTTCGTTCAGACACGCGAAACGCACCCTGCTGACCTCTGTCTCCGGTGTAGCTTCCAGCGTCTGTTCCTCGACCTCCATGGGTCCAAATATCTCATCTAAATCCGCGTCTGTTATCTCTTCCATGTAGAAATTAGGCAAACTCTCCATGACACAAGAAGGCAAGATGGCGGACCAAAAAAAAAAAAATCCCTGGTCTGATTCAGTCAGGTGATGTGGGCGATACCACTTTTTGTAGGGGTGTCAAAATAAGTATGGTTTTTGCTCTCCCGTTCAAATTCTATCTATTTACATATACATTTCATACTCACACACATTTTAGTTTATATGAAGCTTAAAAAAAACATAATTTTGTCTGACCAGGAAACTGCTATGAATATTAACAGAAAGAGCTGTGTACCCCTATATCATTATGGTTTCACCCATGGTTTATGGAGAATAACGCACGGCTGAGCCATGGTTTATCGGAGAATAAAGCACGGGTAACGGAGGCCTCTGATTGGTCTACGCCACCCGGCTATATGATAATGTCATTTTAGACAACCTTACACCAAATACAACACAATAGTCGATGCTTTGTAATATTTTAATCTATATATATAACTTTTTGAAACGTTAAAATACAAACTTTGAGTTAGATAATTACTACTCAAGAGCTACAACCAAGGTTAACACCATATAACATAACCCAGCAAGTATTTACAGAAGATGATTTTGCTTTTAACAATCATAACACTATAAAATAACCAGACGGAACTGTCATCTTTTACCTTTGATACTTAGCATTGTTACTCTTTTATATTTGAACAATGAAATCACGATTTTTTTTTTCATTTTTTGTCTCATTTAAAATTTCCCAACGTCTTAACATGTAAATTAGATCAATCATATAGCAAACAGAAATATTATGCTTAAACCGAGAGTAGATGTTTTACATACACAATGTAAATACAAGAATTTCATACCTCCATTAAACATAAGTTTATGTAAATGTAGGGGGATTTGTCTCTTTGATTATAAAAATAAAGTCGTAATTACCATAACCTAGTTTGATTTATGGTTTTCTAAACTCAAATTCCTAGCCTATTGCATCATTGATTATGCAAATGACTATATTAACATAATATATACATAGTAATGTTAATCATTGAGTAACTTTTACATGTCACATGGTAAAATTCCAGTCACCATTAAGAAATCACATAATTTTCACATTAATCATGCAAATTAGGTTATTATTTGCATAATTGGTATCTGTTGATGTTCCACCTGCTGTGGATTACATACATATCAGTCACTAAAATTAGAGACCGTAGCATGTTCAGGACAAAAGATCTAAAAAACGAAAAATTTGCTGCAGTACCAAGGTCAGCCACCGTACCAAATATCATCACAATCCATAAAGGCCTTCTGAAGTTAAGCTGACTACAAATGTTCGGAAACAAGACAGACAGACAGACACACCAAACAATACTTCCATTTTTCATGGACGTAAGGATGAAGGAATGTAGTATTACAGAATCTAGGACTAATATGCAATGTGCTGACTGAACTTCCAAATTTGATTCCATTATAAATGTGACAAATTATATAGGCCATATGGGGAAGGGCTGTTGAAGTTGAGCCACAGTAGACAGAACTGTTAATAGAAATAAGACGAATCTGCTGTAAAAATAACAGTTTGTTTCCATGAATGTTTTAATTACTCCGTGAAGGACGTCATGGGTGGCCCAAAATCTAACCATTTTGAGGTCTCATCAAAACCTACCCACCTACCAAGTATGAAGACAATCAATTTAAGCCTTCTCGAGTTATCATGTTTACAGACGGACAGACACACAGACACACACACGAACGCCACTGAAAACATAACCTTCTTGGCGAAGGTAATAAAAGCAAAGAACGCGCAACATCTGCAGCCCAGTAACAAAACGTATACCGAGTCCCAGACAGACAAATCCGTTTACCCCACAGTCAGAAACAGCTGCGTCCATCATAAACACTGGAAACTGTTGCACGTTCTGATATTTTCACTGGTTATTTGACTTGAAGACTGACTACATAGCCTCGCCCACCTCAACAAAACATGGAAAATGCCACTCTCTCACTGGTTGAAACGCTAATATAAGTTGTAAAAAAGTCATTTCAATGACTCATAGCCACGCAATGTCCTTGGGTAATGGCTCGTTGATTTAAATTTCACAGAGCTAGCAAAAGTCACTGCAGCAATGACAAATATGAATACCGGCATTTAAAAGCAGAGTTCACATAATCCATATGACTTAAGCCAGACCAAGGACATTGGCAAGACTAAAGCCAAACCAAGGACCTTGGCCAGACCAAAGCCAGACCAAGAACCTAAGAACCTAAAGTACCAGACTAATTTAGAGTTGTTTACGTCACTGTTTACTACGACAAAGAACCACAGAAGACGTGTCCTACAAGAGCACCTGCAACACGACGAAATATCCTTCGAAAATTTCTCCCAAGACATCATCCAACTGGAACATCAAGGTAAGACGTTCTGTCTCTGTTTTGGAAGCGACTTGGAAAGACAGTCCTGTCCGTAGACATAATGAAGAGAGATAGATATATTTTTCATGCAAAATACCTCGCACGGCCACACCCTTCCATGTCTGGGATCAGGCGTCCATCCACATTCGACAGGATTAGCTGATCGCGCCAAAATGTTGCCGACTCTAAAAAATCTCCAGAGAATTGAGCGTACCGGTAATTTTGACTGATACATTAGCCAAGGATTAGGGACCCCAGCACACTGACTGTTCTTTTCCAGAATACAGCCAGTCCTCGACAATAGGGGCTGCACGTGCAACCCCCATGGATGAAATCTGCAGTTTTGTTTTCCATTGGCCTTATGGTAGCGTATGATAATTGGAGTAGGGTTCATTATACATAGTCAATTAATTTTTTCTACCAAGCAAAGAGGTTCTACTTTATTTTTGTTTTGTTGCTAGCATACCTGTCCATCAGTCTGTGAAACACGGAGAGCTCTGCGCCAAAACAAGTAAATTCGTTGGTTGGCGTCACGGTTGCTTTTTGCTTAGACCACTGTGAAGGAAGCTCTGCGTACAAAACAAGTCAATTCGTTGGTTGGCGTCACAGGTTTAGTTTTGCATAGAGCTCTGAATTGCGGAAACAGACTTCCGCACACCATTACCATGCTTTAGGCAACGTCAGCTTAACTTGCATTCTAGTTAAACTCTGGTCCAGCTACTGTGGT